TCACCTTCTCCTCCGTTGGCAATGGCATCACTACCGGTTACATATCTCCAGCGATGCTGCCAATGTGGTGAGGCAACTGGTGGATGTAGACCTGACAATCAGGTCGGGTTGGGTAATTTCGGGCTGATGCCTCCGTTTATGGGTCAGGCAAGTAGGGTTGGCTGATTTCGGGTCAAATATTGACCCAACATATTTGGTTTTGGGTCGAGTTACAAGTCGTTTCGGGTTATGAGCGCTCTCAGAAACAATATCAAACATGCTTCATATTTTCTTAAAGAACACAAATTTTCACATATGCATGACAATAGTTTACCCTACACATGTCAATTAGCATATTCTCAAATCCTCCCATGTTAATAAAATGAAATACAAAATGAGCAAATCGTCAAAAAACAATCACAAGAGTAATACTACTACAAAAAACACATGATATTTGGTTATACTTAAACTCCAAACATGTCATTCAAATCCTTGTGAATTTATTTAAACATCTCACCAATTTATGAATATTTTTATCATTTTCAGAGTGATATATAAAATGAAAAGGGTCTAATGGGTCGACCCGTTAACCAACCCAACCCGACCCAAAAATCATAGGTTATCGGGTTGGGTCATTCGGGTTATAAAAACTTCTACTTTTTGGGCGGGTTTGGGTGGGGTCAACGGATCAGGTTGTAATTTGCCAGGTCTAGGTGGATGGTGACAATAATGATGCCCTCTCCAAGGCCCTTCTATGGGAAGCGTTGTCGCTCCTTTCTCATTTCCCATCTGTGAATTTAATTTTCCAACCTCAAGAAGCGAATCGGGCTCTCCATTGTGTGGCACCTACGACCTTACACTATCCTGGTTTACCTACTTCCATGTTTGATTTCTCTTATTTGGTATGTCTTTGAGTCCGTGATGTGGCCGTAATGGTTGTGGCTATATTCACGTTAATCTGGTTAATCCGCAAGGATTACTATGACAAAAATAAATAAAAATTCCACTGATCGCTTTGCTTTCCAGCGTTGCCCCTGTTTCCCAAATCCAATGCCTATACTCTATTCCTTGTTAATATTACCTCCTTTTGATCCACAATAGGTCGCCGATAATATCCTCTCACCGTCTCTAAATTTCAAATGCATGCATCTCATCCCCCTCTTGCAAATCAATTAAAGCTTTCTCGCCCGTATTATCTATATTTGTTTCTCTATTTGATGCTTTCTGTTATCCTCCATCAAGCTCCTAAAAATCAATTCAACAATGTGTCTTCATCGCATGATGAAGGTCGCACTCCTATGGCGGCGATGTGTGTGTCAGGTGTGGAATATAATGAGGAATGCCCAACTGGGAATTGAGGGGGCGGGTGTTTGCGAGGGCATGCAATATGTGATGGAAGGCGAGTTCTGCCAGTAATCTCTCTGTCTGCAGACTTAACTCGATGGATTTAGCTTACAGATTCGCTGAGCGATTGCCAGAATGGGAGTGTAAGAGCGTATATTCTTCAAGATTTATAATTTTAAAGAGTCAAAAGAGTGTGAATATTATATGATTTTTAGTTACTATATCATTGAAGTTTTGGTCAAATAATTACAACAATTCCTAGAAAAAATAAAAATAAAATTATTTTAGTAGGGTAATGACTTTAAATAATCTAGTTTGGCCCATAAAAGGAAATAATTCATAAGTTCAATAGAACCCCCCCCCCCCCCACAAGTTTATGATATTTGTTTTTAGTTTAATTTTATTTAAAAGGAAAGAGAAATAAAAGCATAGTTTATACACCCTCATCCACTCGATTAGTTCTTCATAAAATAGCCTTTATCTTCTTCTTTCCTTTCCTTTTCTTCTTTTCCTAAGCCGACGTCGGATATCTCCCGTAGATATGCCAAATTCTATATCAGAGGCCATCTAACTAACCTCCTATCATTTTATTTAGTCTCAAGCTTGTGATTTGATGATGTATTTCAGATTCGCCGTTCACGAACTCGTGGTGAATCTCTGTAAGTAGGAAGCTTTGTTGCTGCTCATCCAAATCTTCAACAACTTCTAAGATATGGTGCAACATGTATCCTTTTCGTCATTGCTCCCTAGATCTTTGTCGGCACTGCATGTATTCCTTTCTCTCATGAAGAAGCAGGTCATTGTCTTCAAGCCAAAGCTATTGATTTGACTATAACTTGTTTCATTATACTCTGTTTATAGAGAGAAAAATCTCTCAAATAAATTATATATGGAATAAAATTTGTGAACTTTGATTGTCGATTCTTTGATTTTTAGTTTGAGCTACAATTTTGGGTTGTGGAAGTTTACAGTTTCTGTAAAATAATTGTGACCTAACGACGGATTCAAATACACAATCTGAGCGAGGAAATAAGAAATGGAAGAAAGCGCTTCGTTGGCGTTTTGCGTCCTACAATTGGTGAGGCCAATTGAGCAAAAAAATTCGTAGGCTTCGCAAACCATATGAACATAAGACTATTTCTTTCATGGGCCACAACACTAGGGGGCCGCCATCCGCAGCCAGCGCCAAAAATTTCCCTCTCCAAAATATCCCTCCAAAACTCACTCTAGACACAGTAAATTTTTAATAGGGGTGGCATCCAGTTTTGTTTTTCAGCTATTAATTATAGTGTATATCAACAACTTCAAGTAAAATATAAAGCATCAAATACCGAGTATGTCTCTAGTCTTTATTTAAAGAAATTGTAACAAATACAATGTAATCTAGTTGCTTTTTTTATATGGATGATATAGATGTCTCATAATTTGTAGTCTATTTGTTTGTAAACATATAATACTTTTCTTTAGTGACATGAGTTCAACTTTATAATATATAAACAAATGAGGTACAAGCGCTTTGTGGAATTTCTCCTAGGCCAAGAAATTCGAAAATGGGGTTGCAGTTTTCTCATTCACCTTTAAAACAATGAGTTTTATTTAATTAAAAAATTGACAACATACTATCTAGTCTAGTTGGTTATGTGTTCTTTCTTTATTTGAATGGCCTGAGTTCTATCATGTGTAATACACTTTTTAGTTACCTAAACAAATAGGTATAATTATTAAATATAGACCGAAATTTGAAATGGAGGTGATGGTTTTATTTTTTAGCTATGTAGATTAGGCTAATGATAAATTAGTTACCTAAACAAATAGGTGTAATTATTAAATAGACCAAAATTTGAAATGGAGGTGATGGTTTTATTTTTTTAGCGGGTTAAAGACATATTTGGTCACTGAGATTACAAAATCGGGACATGTTTAGTCACTAGAAAAAGTTAATATCAAATTTGGTCACTCAAATTACTAAAATAGGTCACATTTAGTCACTCTCCGTTAGTCTCCGTCCAAATCCGTTAACAGATTCTGTTAAGTGCTGACATGGCTAACGGGAGCGCCTAATCAGCGCCATTTTGGACCGAAAATGGGCAAACCCGACCCGCCACGTCACTAAACCCGCCACGTCATACACCCAACCCAACTATGAACCCAATCGACCAAAACCAAACCCGAGCCCACTTGACTTAACAAAATTGCAAAATAGATCGGGTTAGGGGCCATTTTTCAGACCCGAAACTCTTTCTTCTTCCTCGCGATCTCTATACCTTCCTGCTTTGAAGTTGCTTTTCCCCCATCACAGTAGACAACGAAACCCTAATATCCTCCTTTGAAGTCGCTCTGTTCTTCTTCTTCTTCTTCTTCTTCTTCTTCTTCTTCTTCTTCTTCTTCTTCTTCTTCTTCTTCTTCTTCTTCTTCTTCTTCTTCTTCTTCTTCTTCTTCGTCACGTGCCGACGTCATTTTCCCCCATCGCAGCATACAACAAAACCCTAAGCCCCAATCGAATAAGATTGGTTGACGTGTTCAATCCCGATCTTGTTCATCACCAGGAACGGGATCCTCTTGAAATTAATCGCGACAGCCATCGAATCGAGGTCTCTAGCTACTCCGCCCCCCAATTTGTTATCTGATGGAACCCTAAGCCCCCACCGAAAACTCATCACGGCGTGACTCCTCATGGGGAGATTCGTGCTGGCCGTGACTTCTACTCATCACCATCGGGCTTGACGTCGGTGAGCCGAACGACCCCGACCCTGTCTTGAGCACGAGTGAGAACGGATTCCAGGAATCATTGGGCGGTAGGGGATCTTGAAGGACGGGCCGGAATCGAAGAATGTCGACTGGTTGAGAGAGAGCTCCTTGGCCTCGCGGGCGATGATCCCAGACTGAAAAAGTAAGTCCAGAATGCTCAGCGGGACCTTGGCTCGAAATAGCAGCTTCTGCTCATCCCGGAAATAGCAGCGGTTTCTCACGGTGGCGTCGCAGGGTTTCGAGGCGGATTTCGCGGAGGGCGGATCGCCAGAGGTGGCGCCAGCGGCGGGACAGAACGAAGGTCTGGACGGTGGTTTTTAGGTCTAGATCGGCGGCGATCAGGATGTGGCGGAGGATGTCCTCCGGGAGGGCAGTGAGGCACACGAAGGGGAAGAGCTCTCGAGGAAGGAGAAGGGTTTTTGGGTATGAAATGGAAACAAATCAGTTTTCTTTTTTTTTAAAGTGGGATCTGGTATGGTTAGGTGGGTTAGGGTTTATTTCTAGGTCGGGTTAGGTTTAATACGTGGCGGGTTTAGTGACGTGGCGGGTCGGGTTTGACCATTTCCTGCCCAAAACGGTGCTGACTAGGCGCTCACGTTAGCCACGTCAGCACATAACGGACTCTTTTAACGGAGTTGGACGGCAACTAACGGCGAGTGACTAAATGTGTCCAGTTTTAGTAATTGTAGTGACCAAATTTGATATTAACTTTTTCTAGTGACTAAACATGTCCCGATTTTGTAATCACAGTGACCAAATATGTCTTTAACCCTTTTTTTAGCTATGTAGATTAGGCCAGTGATAAATGCACTGGATTCTCTTACCACCTATATTCTCCATACAGTTTTAACTAGTCTCCACAATTAACCAAAGGACCTCAACCAGCCTCTATATAAAGCTTCCGCTCCAAAGTAAAGCCACCAACGAACATGACGACTCCCAAATTCGCCAACCTCACCGCCGCCTTCATCTCCATCTCCATCTCCATCTTCCTCTTCCTCTCCTCATCACCAGCCGACGGCGCCACCGCCACCAGCCTCATCACCGGAACCTGCAAGCAAACCCCCGACTTCAACCTCTGCGTCTCCACCCTCACCGCCGACCCCCGCGGCCCCAAAGCCGCCGGCGTCCAGACCCTCGCCCTCATCATCATCGACGCCGTGAAAGCCAAGGCAACGACGGCGTACGCGGACATAAAAAGGCTGCTCAAAACGGCGCCGGAATTGGAGGGGCCACTCAAGAGCTGCGCCCAACAATACAATGTCATTTTGACGGCGGAGATTCCGGAAGCGGAAGAAGCCGTGAGCGGAGGGGTGGCCAAGTTCGGAGAAGACGGGATGAGAGGGTCGGCTAGCGATGCCGATTTGTGCGAGGACGGGTTCGTGAAGGTCAAGTCGCCGTTGACGGTGGAGAACAAGGTCGTTTCCGGCCTCGCCGCCGTGGGGGCGGCCGTGATCCGGCAGTTAGAGTGAGAGAGTGTTGAGGAGAGTGGCTGCTATTTTTTTTTACGAGTTTATTTAATAAAGGAAAATATGATTGGTGGAGAAGGATGTTGTTTATGATTAAACGTCTTGCATATGCATGAGTAATATGATTGGAAAAGTTTTAAGTGGTTGATTGTTGAACGATTAACCGTTAACAGAATCGTTCATGTGTTATAATATAATAAAATAATAGACATATATAGTAAAATATTTTAGTAGTGATGGATTATATGCATTTGAATTGTTTATAGTTAGTGATGAATTCCTCCTAAATTAGTGTAGTATATATGTATTTTTGTTATAGCGCATGAACGATTCTTTCAGTAGTTAACCAACAGTTCTATAACGATTCTTTCAATAGTTAAATCTTTTGGTCAGTTCTAGAGACAAAACACCTATAGTCAACTTTTTCATGTATTTTTGTGCTCATTTACTCCATTTTGGTGCTTATTTACGTAATACTGGTTATTCACGTAAAAGTGTAAGTTATTCACGTTAATGGAAAATTAGACTTTTCCCCCTAATAATTTGTATGGGCTATATTTTATGAAATTTGGAATCACAATTAATATGTAAAAATGTGTTGCATTAACCATAATCTACATAATGACATCCATTCGATATATTTGAAAGTTTAAAATTTGATTTTACATCGGCATGAATCAATAACAATATGCGTGAATTAATACAGGTTGTGTGACCTAACAGTATTGGTTGCGTGAATAATCAATACTCTTACATGAATAATGCAAATATGGAGTGAATAAGGTCAAATATACGCGAATAAAAAAAAATTGTGTGAATTAAGTGTTTTGTCACTAGAGGTGCCAAAAGAGTTGATTCAATATGATTTGCTTTCATATCTGGAAAAAATGAGGACTTAATGGATATAGTAATAAATGAGCTAAATCCCAAAAAAAAAAAAATCACCCAAGTTTAATGTACCATTGATTATGTGTCACCCATTAATCAAGCTAATGCAATCCTTACTATTAGTCCATTATTTAATTCATAAAAATCACTTATTATTAGACCGCGATTTTTCTGACCGGACCATTGCACAACCTTCCGCAAGTTCCGCTCCATCTTTTGTTGACTACTACGGCCGGTTTGGTGATTGGTACGCAATCATGGATTCGATTAACACAACCGAATATGAGAAAGGAGTACTGCGAGTGACGGAATAGGGCTTTTGTAGCATTCTCTTTGGTATAAGCAACCAAAAGTTAGGCCCAAAAGCTAGCTGCAACATGCAGTCAGTCACAATTAATTAAGTACTATAAACTACGTGGGCGGGAGTACTGTTCTGGTTTAGGTACGAGACTATCCAGAGAACAAGAACAAGTTTCCTACCTTCAACCAGAACATGTGGCGCCGGAAGTGTTAGGCAGCGACAGATGATTATGTCTGATATTTCCAACAGGAGCAAAGCGTTGTTATGAGTTATGGATCCCTCTCGGTATTTTTTCGTCCAACCATCCATTCGAGTAAGGCCATTTAACTCTTTAAAAGAAATAACAAGTTTAAAGTTACTATTTCATAGAGTCACATTACAATAGGTGTTTTTTTTTTTTGTAATTAACCAAAGTTTGGAAGAGCTTTTGTGTCATTAAGATTCTTGTTAATTACCTTATGACAATTGAGTTCAAATTGGACCCAAATCAATGGGTATTCGACCCGGTTAAAGCGAGTTTACTCCGATGTTGACGAATTTTGGTTAGACAACGAGTTTTACATGCTATCAATGGGTATTCGACCTAATGTCGACCCGATTAAAGCAAGTTGAACTCAATGTTGACGAATTTTCGGTATTCGACCTTAAATCATGGTTATTCGACATATTTGGCCATTAAGGTTCTTATTAATTACCTTGTGACAATTGAGTTTAAATTGGACCCAAATCAGTGGGTATTCGACCTAATTTGACCCGGTTAAAGCGAGTAGAACCCGGTGTTGACGAATTTTGGTTCAACAACGAGTTTACATGCTTAAATCAATGGGTATTCAACCTAATGTCGAACCGATTAAAGCGAGTTAAACCCAATGTTGACGAATTTTTGGTATTCGACCTTAAATCATGGGTATTCGACTTATCCGACCATTAAGGTTCTTATTAATTACCTTATGAAAATTGAGTCCAAATTTGATCCAAATCAGTGGGTATTCGACCTAATTCGACCTAATTCGACTCGGTTCAAACGAGTTGAACCCAGTATTGACGAATTTTGGTTCGAAAACGAGTTTTACATGCTTAAATCAATGGGTATTCGACCTAATGTCAACTCGATTAAAGCGAGTTGAACCCAATGTTGATGAATTTTTTGTATTTAACCTTAAATCATGGGTATTCTACCTATTCGATCCTCTTAGAGCGAGTTGAACTCGGTGTTAACGAATTTTGGTCGAGAACGAGTTTTACATGTGTCGGGTTGGGTCGTTACCTAATTCTTTTTTACTCACTTTTGTGATTGAAAGGTTGGGTCGGGTGTCGTTTTACCTCCTTTAGTGACAATTGAACCCAAATCCATGTTGATGAATTGGGTTGGGACGGATTTTACCCACTTTTGTAATTAACGAATTGGGTCCAGTGTGGATTTTGTTAAAACTCGTCCCAATTTGTAAAGCAGATCAAAGCGAGTAGAATCCGGCGTTGACGAATTTTGGGTCGGGGACGAATTTTGGATCGCGGACGAGTTTTGTCCACTTTTGTAATTAACGGTTTGGGTCGGGTGCGAGTTTTGCTGAAAACTCACCCCTCTATATCTGTTTTTTTTACAATACCCCTCTATATCTGGTCGGGGTGGCGTTGATGAATTTTGGGTTGGTATTTTACCTACTTTTAATTGACATGCTGGCTCGGGTGCATATTTATTTCCTTTAGTGAAAAGAGAACCCAAATCTATGTGTATTAAACCTAATTCGACGAGGTCAAAACGAGTTTAATCCGATGTTAGACAAATTTTGGATTGGAATTGAATTTTACCCGCTTTTGTAATTGACGGATTGGGCCGGGTGTGGATTTTTTTAAAACTCGCTCCAATTTATCAGACCGATCAAAGCGAGTTAAATTAAGTGTTGACGAATTTTTGGTCGACGACAAATTTCGGGTCGAGGATGAGTTTTACCCACTTTTGTAATTGGCTGGTAGGTCGGGTGTGAGTTTAGGAAAAAAATCGCCCTTCTATATCAAGTTGGCGTGGCGTTGATGAATTTAGGGTCAGTATTTTACCTGCTTTAATTGAGCAAGTTAAACTCGGTGTTGACGGTTTTTGCTTTGGGAAAGAGTTTTGCATTCTTTTCTCATTTATGGGATAACTAGTTCTAAGGGTTTGTTTGGTTTTGGTGATAGTTAAATAGATGCATTCTCATCAATGCATGCATAATAATATACATGTATATACAAAAATTGGTGTATTGTAGTTTACATAGTTTGATTTTTGTGATAGTTATTGTGTAATTTAAATAAGTTATATTACATAGTTTGAATGAAATGTACTTTTACCCTTTGATTTTAATATAAAAAAGCCACACACATAAAAAGTTAGGGACGTAGTTGGAAGAAAATAAAACACAACAATCTCAATCAAACAATCTCAACAATAGGGGTGGGAAACAGGACGGGACGGGAAACCCGTCCCGTTTGAAACGGGTACCCGGTCCCGTTGGAGACCAAGGTCCATCCCATGTCTCAAACCCATAAGGATTAACGGGTAGCCGTTATACCCGTTTATACCCGTTTGTACCTAAAAAAAACAACAACAATAACTTCGGGCCCACTAAATCTCCTGGAAAAAAACTACTGTCCACAAAATGAAAAGAAAAAGAACCCTGTTGTCCCAGCCGAAGCTACTGCCCATAAAATGAAAAGTGCCCACAAAATGAAAAGAAAAGGAACCATGCTGTCCCAGGCTCCCAGCCGAAGCTACTGCCCACAAAATAAACATGAACTTGGGACAAACCCTGTTGTGCTGTCAATATTATGCATTACATGAACTTGAACATGAACATGAACTTGGAACAAAATAACACACCAAAAAATAAACATGGAGGCTTGGGCTCGGCTCACGGGCTGCTGGGCTGGGGCGCTGGGCTGGGGTTCACTGGACATATTGGGTAAAACAGGCAACCGTTACACCCAAACGGGTACCCGTTATACCCAAACACTACAACTCCACTCTTTTTCGTCTGCTCTTCTCTCTCTTCTTTCCATGCCCTGATTGGACGGGTCCATCTCTTCCCACTCACCTGTAACTCTTCCCCACCACCCACTCATCCATCTCCATCTCTCTCCCACACTGGAAGAATACGAAGGAGAAGAAGAAGCAGAAAGAGAACGCGGAGAAGAAGAAGGACGAGGACGGAAAACTGTGGACGACTTTAGCTAAGGGTCGGACTTATTGGTTGGATGGTTAGTTTCTAATCTCTGTTTGTTTTTGTCCGTTTGGTTCCTTTAGATTTTTTTTTATGAATCGTTGGTTTCTCAATGGATTCACCGGCCAAAAACCAAGTTGTCGACGAACTTGGGGAGATCCACCGAAGACCGGTTAGATGGTGAGGTTCACCCCCTCCCCCTCTGTGTCTCGACAAAGAAGAATAAGAGAATAAGAATCTGGTGGGGAAGCAGTAGAGGAAGGGAGAAAAAGAAGGTACTTGGTCGAAACTGGAAGAAGACTGGGTCGAATCTAGAAGTCGGGTACAAGTTTTTTTTGGTTGATTTCATTCTGTGGTTGCAGGATTTGAAGGGTTCTAATGTGTTATGGGTTGCCATAGCTGCAGTTGCTCCGCCTTCTGTTGGCAGATGGAATCATCTGAGAGGAAACAGAGGACGGAGGAAAGAAGAGGGGAGAAAGGGTTGTGATGTGTTTTTTTGCTTTTGTTGGAAGAAAGGGAGAAAGGATCGATCGCTGGCAATCCGAGCTTCTCCGATGGCGTCGATGTTTCCAAGAGGTGGAATTTTGTTTTGGTAAGTTGTTAATTTGGTTTCTTTA